CGGGCCCAGGGGCCCGTGGCCGTGGCCGTGCGCGTGCCCGTGCGACGCCGACGCCGCCGACGCCAGCAGGCGCTTGCGAGTGCCGCCGTTGAACATGGCCTGCGCAGCCACCCCCCCTGCGGTCGCCTCTGGCGCGCGGTTTTGGTGGATCATTACCAGCTAATTGAAAGACCACACGACATCCCCAACATTGACGCGTCTTGGGGGAACACAACACTCGGACCAACAAAGTTAAAGCGCAAGGGCGGAGGGGACCCTCGCTCGCGCCTTTGCGCTTTAATTTTCACTTCTGGTTGGTCCAGAATGTTGAACAAGTATGATTTTGTGAAACAATAGGAAGTTAAGAAACAAGTGGGCGTGTCATCGCGTCCACGTGTTGCTTATAGTATCTTTCAAGCCCCGTGAGCGAAACACTATATGAACTCATTTGTAAAATTAGTTAGAAGTTAATGGATTGCAATCAATTTCGTATACCTATTGTACATAAATAATAACCAAGGAGTCTTCGAGCCGAAAGATAGATGTGAAAGTTACAATGTTAGCGCACGTTTGGTAATGTTCACATACTATTTGTTAGAGTGAAGAAAATTGCTGTTCCGGATATGGAAAGCAAACACGGGAAACCGTGTTTCGCTCACGGCTTATCAAAAATAATATTACTTTTTTTAAGATATCTTTTTGGTTTAGGAATGAGGAACGATTTTGTCACAGATGTCTAATGACTTCACGACATCAGTACATTATCAATTTGTACGCCAAAGGCGATATCGTATAGTGACTGATAATTGTTAACATCATTAGGCCGATAAACAGTTAAATACCCACCCACGTTAAAACCATCTTGTTTCAAGAAAACGATGAATAAACAAGATATTAAAATTATTATTTACTTTTCTGTTTATAGATTTTTCAACTTTGTCAGACTATAATTGGTCTTTTATTTTAAAGACAAAAAATTGTTTTAGGATAAGTTATACACCAATATGTTATACTAGCGGAACCCGACAGACGCTGTCGTGCCCTCCATTTCCCCATCTCCCTCTTTCTCCTTCCTTCTCCCTTTCTCTCTCCGTCTCGCTTACCGTCTCTATTCTTCCGTCTCCCACTCTTCCTTGTCCCAGTCTGTCAGACTCTGAGAGGGACAGGGCCAGAGACAGACACAATCTGTCTCCTCTCTCTCTCTGTCTCTCTCTCTGTGTATATCTCTCTCTCTCTCTGCCTCTCTGTCTCTCTTTATCTGTCTGTCTCGCTGTCCCTCTCTTATGTATCTGTTTCTGTGTCTTTGTCACTCAGTCTCTTGACTCTCTCTTTTTCTTTCTCAGCATGTCTGTCTCTCTCTGTCTCCTCTGTCTGTCTGTCTGTCTCTCTGTCTCTCTCTCTCTCTATCTATCTATCTCTCTCTTACTTACGCGCGTCGTTGTCTTGACCTCGACCTCGCCCTGTGTCACATGTATATGGATGTTTGAATGGGAGAAAACCAGAATGGTAGAAGTGACATTTTATTAATTCAGAGAGATCTGTATAAGTCAATATTTAAGTAAAGTTGTGCTGCTTTGTTTTATCATTAAAACCACAACATTTCAATTGTTTATTAAAACCACGAAATTACGTGGCCACTGAAATATAAACTAAAACAAAGTTTTATTTTTCTCAGAATTTATAAAATGCTACGTATACTGTTCTGGCTTTCACCCATTTATTTGATACATAATAGCATTAATAACGTTTCGTAAAATATAATATATCGATGTAAAAGCGTTATCCTAAAACAATTTGCTGTCTTTAAAACGAAACAGCAAATACGGTCTGATGAAAAGGAAACGCGATTTCTTGGAAGCTCGTTGAAAGGGGCCGGTGCGGCGGCGCGGGGGGCGCGCGGCGAGTACCTTGACGTCCTCCCAGGCGTGCACCACCTCCTCGGGCGGGGAGCCGCTCAGCTTCATGTGGCGGCGCCACGAGTTGAAGTTGGCGGCGTCGGGCTGCACGTACTTGCTCTGCGGGCCCACGCGGTGCGAGTGGAAGATGAACTTGTTGGGCGAGAAGAAGAGGCCGCAGAAGGAGCACTTGATGCACTTGGCGCGCGACGAGTTGTACCTGCGCTCGCGCATGCGCACGGGCCGTGTGAATTGCCAAAAAAAAGTTGATATTTTAAAATATGCAAAGAGCAGCTCCGTTTTTGCATTACAGAAATGATATACGCTAAAGTTACATAAATAATTAAATGTTATAACGATTTCATGACAATTTAATAATAAATAAGACAATTCGAAAAACTCTGTTTAGGCCTCTGACGCCGCGTCGTTGGCAGAGTTAGCTTCTCAACCAACAACGCGGTGTCACCCTGTCAGACAAGAAGGTCATGGACTCGAGCCGCGGAAGCTTACGTGTAAATTCTGTTTAGTATTTTTTTCCTTTATGAACACTTTCAGGGGTAAATGAAGGGAGACGTGGAACCCCCACTCGGACCAAATACCCACTCGAACATAACACCAATCGCCGTCTCTGGCTACACGGAGAGAAATATTGTAGTTCAAGGCACTAAAAATATTTAGTAAGTGATATCCAATTATTCTTGTGGTAAAATTCACTAAAATCGATTTAATTTCGTTTCAATCAGACGACTGAAAAGCTTAAGTGAAGTAACAAAGAGAACTGTTTGTGGTACCATACTGGTTTCGAAGATAAAATCATTTGGTGAGATCTAAGTTTCATGTCGTCACTAACTAAACATTGCTAAGTAAGCGCGTGGTCTGAATAATATGACCAATTCGAATAGTTAGAGAGCTCATGTGAACTGTGAGAAATCAACTTTTTATATAGTGTTACACGCTGTATAAACGCGTGCTTATTATTTGGTTGATTTTAGATAATTGTAACCGTAACCGTTCTGCTTGGCTTGGGTCACCGCGGCTAAAGAAGTACGAGTCCACGGAGCCGCAGAATGGGTGACCGCTCGGGAATCCCCGTTACTAAAACTCCCTGGCTGAAAGGACAGAAAGAAAGTGTTCCTTTTCACTTTTCTGCTTAATGAAATCCTACTACTTCTTTAATAATTTTCAGTGCAATGTGTTTAGTAAATATTATGTCATTTTTAGTGAAACTTAGTATACGTGCATTACTATATTTACCTAAATTGCAGTTTCGTGATCGTGACTAAGCATTTTGTTCTTCCAAACTATACCGTACCGTATAGTTCAATCTATGTAATTAATTGTATGAACTAAATATTCTCTACGTGTACTACTCAGAACTATTCAGACTTTTAAAAAAGTGCATAGTATGAATTGAAGAACTAAAATTGAGGGATGTAGTGTATTGATAAATAAATATTTGACTTTAATATTAGAGGTGTAGAGAAAGGGCGAAAATAAATGTCAATTTTTACAACTTTCAGAGTTTCAGAGGTTTTTAATGAAAGAAATATATACTATTTTTTATAAATGTAATATAAAAGTCGGTGCATCGAGTTAGGAATTTGGTGCGTGTATCGAGACTACACACTATAATTCCAGTTCCTTGATTATTTTTCAGATTTCGTGTGTATACTGTATAAGTATTCCTTGACAATAATTTCTGCGTCTTCTGTTGTGTCACTAATGTCATGCTGCCCGATAAGGGGCGAATTTTCGGCAGAAAAACATTTATTATAGAGCCCTGGGAACGAAAAAGATGATAAATCCAGTTGCTAAATTTAGAACGAAAATCCTCTAACTAGTGGTGTAGCCAGAATTCATGTTTTGTGGATCTTCGATACCCAAAAATTCCCTTAGGGTAAAACTCTGTCCGTCTGTCTGCCCGTTCACCTGTGAACAACGCTAGCAGCTAGCTCCTTGATCTGGCTGATGTCGGGGCCCCTTGATTTTGAAACTTATATTTTAATTCTGAAGGGCACTTTACATGACGCCTCTGAGACATTTTCAAATTTTCAACAAAAAAATGGCTTCATCTTTTTTTATTAACCTTTGTTGTTGAATGGTGAAAAGAACGTTTAATAGAATGGTGTAGGATTCATGTTTGTTGAAAACTGATTTTGGGAAAATTGCAAAAGTTGAAACGTCTTTCAGAGTCTTCCTACAACTAAAACATTAAAGATAGAGGTTTTCCTCCCCAATTAACCTGTTCCTTAAATATAGATTTTGAAATAAGGTCACGTACAAATTTCCGTAAATTTGCCTACTTTTTTCGAAATATTGCGTGAAAATACTGGCGAGAAAGTAAATGCTGTTTTAGCATCACAAGTTTTATACCGTTTTTCTTTTATTTTAATTCAAGTATACAAATCACTTAATTGAAAGTCAGTATTAGTAAACGCAGTGAGGGGGAAATATTTTTCCAACGATGCATTAATAGTTTTCAATAGTACACATGCAAGTGCTCAAATGTACACTTTTGCCAGCGGCTGCCTAAAGATGTACACGAAAGCTTCCGTGGCTCGAATCCATAAATTCTCGGCTATCCGGGAGACGCCGAGTCGTTGGCTGGGGGGTGGACGTTTCGCCAGACATGTCGCAGGCTTCCGCAGGGCAGTGACTACTACACTGATGGTCACTGCCCTGAGGAAGCCTGCGACATGTCAGGCGAAACGTCCACCCCCAGCCAAGGGCTACCTACAGAGCCCATTTGGCTGAACGTCGCGACGTCCCTGGCGCTTTTTTTAAAATTGAATTTGCCTTATTTTACGTGACGAGACTCAGGCCATCAGGCCCGCTCTTCCGTCTGACCACGCAAATGTCGCTACTCTCCTTTCATCAACTAGCAGAGAAAGGAGGTATTTCTTGGGCGAGAAACAGGCGATTTGAATTTAGCTCAGAGGCGTCATTTAGGCTTGAGGATCTTTTACATGCAAGTAAATCTACTAACATGGGACAGTCGGCTTTACTTCCCTTCCGAAGGAAGGCGTACGAAGGATTTTTTCGCCCTTAAAAATCCACGGCTTCGATCGGGTTTGAACTCGCGGACTTGGGTACAACCGGTACGCTAACCATTACACCATCGCTGCCGTTTTAGCATCACAAGTTTCATACAGCCTTTCTTTTATCTTAATTCAAGTATACAAATCACTTAATTGAAAGTCAGTAGTAGCAGAAAATTGTACACTTCCGCTAGCGAAAGTGTACAAAGAGCGCATTGGGTACCTGGCGGGCAGGAAGGCGCCGCGGCAGCCCCAGGCGCACTCGTGGTGCACGGAGAAGGCGAAGTCCTCGGGCAGGCGCGGCGGCGTGTTGTCGCCCAGGAAGGACTTGCAGAGGCGCTCGGCCTCGCGCCGCGTGATCATCCCGCAGCGGCGCGAGCTCACGGGCATGGCCCCCGCGCGCCGCAGGATCTCGAGCTGCACGGGCGTGCACTGCACGCACGTGATGCCCAGCGCCACGCGCCGGTTGTGGATCTCGTTGTAGCTGAACTCCTTGAGCAGCGTGTTGGAGATCTGCGCCAGGCACAGGCGCTCCTGCGCCTCGATCACCAGCGACACGATGGGCACGCCGTACAGCAGCACCGTTCCCACCTGCGCACGCAAGGCACGCCCACCGCTCTACACCATGCCCATCAAGAGGCTCGAGGAGGGGAGAGGGAGGTCTGGCTGCTGGGCCTCCATCACCAGCGACACGATGGGCATGTAAGCCACACCCATCGTTCTGCACCGCGCTGCTCGCAGTGTACCGAGGTATACGGAAACCTATAGAATTCACCGATTTTCACACGGCGTAGTGATAGAGGAACTGGGCGAAAACAGACGAACTGCGAGCAACTTCCGGTGCGGTTGTCTCGAGCCTAGTGAACGGCGGGTGGCATACTAGCCACTGCAACCGCCTACAGTCCGGCCCCAATTCTTGGGTTTGAGCAACGTTTCTCTAACCTTTCAATGTGTCATTGAAGAACATTTAGAAATATTCTAATTTCTAATATCTAATATCATCGCATCAATTTCATCATTTCAACTTTGAGTTCTTTTCTAGTATCCGTGTGTAAAACATCTTTCAGAAAGTAGTAAACAATTTTATGAAGCATATAGGACTAGAGAGATTTGAGAACTACTTTAGATTTACTTTACTCATAATTATACTGCCTTTTTAATTAATATGCCTTAATTGTTATTTTTTACAATTGTAGATTATTTGTATCTACCAATAGTGGAACATTTGGTTCCGGATCCTTCCTACATTTTCTTTATCATTCTAAAAGAATTCTCAAAAAACTTGTTTGTGAGAGTTTTATGACCCGAAAATGAGCTTAGAGGCTTTTAAAGCATCCACAGAGGAGAATAAGGCTTCAATCCACGTGAATCAATTGACACTCTTTACAGACGAATTCTAGAATAATTACAGAAAACGTGGTTCTTGGAGGGTGTTGAGAAAGGTATCTAGGTATGAGTAATTTATGCTTTTATGAAACAAAACTTTTAGTACGAAAATGGTCATCGTAGGGGCCTTGCTAAGCTGGTAGCCCAAAGTTTATATATTATACGTATCAATGTACGATATATCTAATTATAAGGTGAAATAAGATATTAATAGCACTCATGTGAGGGCTTCTTTGTCCAATTCTCACCCTTCGATTAACGTTGCCTTCATCCTGTGCGCTCGTGGCACTCGTGCATTATCCGCGCACGTACTCTTGAGCTCTCGTTTCGCTGGATGCGAGAGGAGTGAGGAGGCTAGTTGTTTCAACAACAGGGGTATTATATCAAACCTGTCGCTCGTTTTTAGATATAAAATAATTTCTATTATACGGAAGCGAACATTTCTAACAGTGATATTTTTTGAACAACGCTCGTCGCTAACATTTATTCTTAATTCAACTAATGTTAGAAAAGGAGTGGGTGTAGGTATTCCAGGCTCATGAAAAGGTGCGTGTGTACAGTAGCGCTTCCGAGGTGTGTGTGATGGCGAGCGCGTTGCTCACCTGGTTGTTCTGCTTGGCGAGCTGCGGCGGGGGCGGGGGCGGCGGCGG